TTCCAAGTCATTCGAACTTCCTACCGAAGTCATCGCCTATGCAATAATAAAAATTCTCACGTATCTCTCTGGAGATATAGCTTAATTGTTTCTCAGTAGCAGCTGGAATTGGGAACATTCTATATAAAATTCATTTTAGAGACTATCAAGCAAAAACGTGTAATATCACAAACAGGCTTTCCGGACCTTAAAAATGATATAAAAATGTTAAATCACATTTAATTTAAAATAAGAAACATTAATTCACTATTCAAAAAATGATACAAATTATATATAGACCAAAAAAAAGTTAATCACATACTATATTATAAATTCTTCAGGACCAGCAAGTTATCCTGAGAAGTGAAATAGCTGAAATAATCTAGAAGTTTATACAAATATAAGTAAAAAGATAATAAAAATTAATATTATTTAAGACCGATATGCAGTGTAGGTTGGCAGTTCCGCTGATGATTGTTAATCATTATTATATGCACAAGTAATTACCCATGCTGCAAGCCCTCGTGAGTATGCTTACCCACACTGCAGTTCAACCAAATAAGGATATGGCCTTGTTAATTATTTTTTTACTTTCCTATTTCGTATTATCTTCTTGCATTATCACATATTTAGTTATAATCTTATAGTTATTCTTCTATATATAGTTGTTGCCCATTACTTAGCCACCTGTATCAAGTTAAATTGGTAAAGCAAAGAGGAATTTCTTAAAGAGGTGAATGATTTAATGACTCCATATAGAAATCCTTACCCTACAGCCTTTTTCCGAATACCTAAGCCATTTTCTAAAAAGATAGATTGAAAGCTCAAAGCCCACCAGGTCAAAGAGGAATTTCTTAAAGAGGTGAATGATTTAATGACTCTATATAGAAATCCTTACCTTACAGCCTTCTTTCGAATATCTAAGCCATTTCCTGAAAAGATCGAACGAAAGCCCAAAGCACACCAGGTCAATGCTAGAAGCATTATTCAACTAAAGATTGAAAGATTGGCGTTATGAGGGCGTAAGTTAAAAACGGCATAAATTCATATAGAAGAAAATGCAAAATAAGAAAAAGGAAAATCATTCAGAGTTTAATGAATAGGTTTAGTGCGTAAATCAGAAATTGCAAAATAATAAAAATGTATAAAAGAACTTTTAGATCTACCTTGAATAAACAGTGATATCCACTTATGAAAAAACTTCTAATTTTTTATATTGTATGCTGATTTCTTAATCGTATAAGCTTGCTAATTAATTCCTTACAAATATCGGTATTCTTGCTTTGTCGTGTTTGCATGACTTTTAAATTTTGATTCATTAGTATTTGTTTTACATTTTAACAAGATACATTATTTATAAATATTATATAAAACATTGTTATCAATACACAATCACACACTTATCTATTAATAAGATCCTAATTCCTAATTAGGTTTCTCATATAAAATTATCTTGAAAATATACTTTGCTAAATATTTACTTCACAAAAAAGATGTCTAAAAAACAACAGTTCGCTACAAAAATTTTAAGTATAGGTATTATAGATCCTCAACTGCATTACGGAGTTTGGTCTAAATCCTGGTGGGAAAAAGTCAATATAAAACTAGAAACAGGAATGAAAGAATATATAATACCTTATCGTTTATGTATGTGCATTGAATGTGAGCTTAATAATATAAAATTCATCGTTAAGATATTACCTAATGATCAAAATCCATTAAAGCCAGGTTTTCAATGTACCTGTAGTGCAATTAAATCCGATATTGAATCACATTCATCTGCAGCAATTAACACATGCTATCAAAAAGTTTTTGAAACAAAAACTGAATACTCTGGTTTGGCTGCTATGGGCTTCGAATATGAGGATATTATTAAACAATTAATCTTTGACATAGAATTTTTTCCAATATTTCTTCGTATTGAGAAGCTTATGGTGGTAATACCAAGTATCGACGATTTGGAAGAAAATAGATTTTATGAAGTCGGCGCTGGATTCGTTTCTTCATTTACTACACGTTATTGCAACAACCTGCATTTATTTGTGTTAAAAATTGAAGAAAATCAATGCGTTTTAGAAATTTATTTAGAATCTAAGTGCATTAATACAATTATAGGAAATACTCCGGATAAAATTTGGAATAAGGTAGAAGTTCTTAAAAAATTCACAGGATCATATCTTTTCGGAATCACAAATGAATTAGTTAGAAAACGCCTACATAAGTTAAGAAATGAATCACCAACATGTATCATTAATGACTGGATAAATAATAAACAACAATTAGAAAAAGTATTTAATAGGCATATAAAATCACGAAAAATTCCTAATAAAACTGTCAATTGGTCATCTCTTTTTCAAAATTGGTACCAACAAAAAAGCTCTATTGTTCAATTTCTACTTATATTACAAACAATATATCCACCTGCTTATGTTTTTCAAGAGAAAGAATTACGAGCATGGAGAGCAATGTTCATTGCTTGCGGATGTACTAATGTAACACCAGTTTCTCAAAAGGAATCACCTATAGAATTTTGGAGCAAAGCGGTGGATCCTACTGCTGACAAAGAATTATTAGACAATTTATATAAAAATAATATTATTCAATTAAATAATACTTTATCTGTACAAAGCTCTCAAAGTTCACAAGTAGTGCAAAGCTCACAAGATAACACTTGGTGGAATAGCTTTCGAGATATGTTACTTTCAAATAAAAAAGGATCAGACAGTATAATTCGTATTCTTTCAATTATCGCTCTAAATTTCAAATATAATGTTCTTATAAAGGAGTTAGGTGTAAGTAATTATGCACAACATATAACAAAATATTTCAACATTAACTTAATCTTATGTTTAATAGGTCAGATCGGCTACAATAAGTAAGGCTAGAAAACATGCTCGGCTTTATGGTCCAGGCGCACCACCCATCCAAAAGCCAAAAAGAGCTGTACAAAGATTATCTGATTTTCAAGAAGAACAATTCCTGTTATTTTTTCAGGATAGAGAAAATGTTTTAATGAGTTCATATCATGTAGATGAAAAAACTGGATTACCAATTTTATATTTGCGTGATCAAAAAAGTAGTTTGTGGAAAAAATTTAGCGAAACCTACCCAAATGGTATGAAAAAAACTACTTTTATGGCACGCCTAGCTGATTCAAAGCATCTTAAATATCGTGAAGATCTTGGTGGACTGTGTATAATCTGTAACGATTACGGTTATGAGACCTTCAGAAATTTGAAGAATATTGTACAAAACAACATATCCAATAAAGATACTATGGTTAGTTTATATCAATTTGTTATGCCTTTTTTATTTTGCTTGCTTTTTTTTTTTAACTTTTTATCTTTTTCGCTTTTTTTCTTTTTCTTCTTTTTGCTTTTTTTTCTTTTTGCTGCTTTTGCTTTTTTTGCTACGTTTCTTTTTTTTTTTTTTTTTTTTTACTACTGCTTTTTTCTTTTTTTTTTGGTTGCTCTTTTCTGTTCACTCTATTTTTAATATAAACATAATTACCTCATTAATCAATTTTTTAGGTAAAAATTTTAAAAGATCTTGAAAATCTCAAACGCCATCTAAGACGAGGTTATGAAGAAGAATTAGTAATTAAAGAAGATGACCATGTTGAACATGATCCCTGTATTTCCCACTGCCTACCTTATGCATTCGGTGAATGTGTCAACTACCATGAAACACGATGTCCTAACTGTGATCAATTGTTTGACATTCTGGACTTAATATATCAATTAGTATCTCCAACCATCCATTCACAAATAACAGAATTAAAAGAACAATTATTATATTATCTTTCACATCAAACGCGAAAAGTATACTTAAATGCCCAGTACAAAGCAACATTGAATGAACTTGACTCTGATGGTGCACTTTTTATTGCTGACTATAAAATGCGTATACTTCCTCAATCTGCACGTGAAACAAAGAAAGACTTTTTTGGAAAACGTGGTTGGACCTTACATACAATTTTGGTTTTGACTAAAGAAAATCAAGAATATGATGTTAAAGCATATGATCATTAGTCAATGGACACTAAACAAGATGCTTGGTTCACTGCATCGGCGTTTGAAGTTGTATTCGAGACTATAGAAAAAAAACCAAGATGGATCAAGGTAATATCTGACAATGGGCCCCATTACCATAACTCAGAATTAATGGCAATAATCGGATATTAGCATGAATGGTATAATGTTGAAGTTTGTAGTTGGTTATTTTTAGAGCCTGGGGAAGCAAAAACAATCATAGATTCACACCATGCGGCGGTTAGTATCTTTGATTGTTAATATATTGTTGTTTTTTAAGTGTTAACAGCTTGCAAATTACAACTCTTCTTCGAACTTTGCTCAGATTTATTTAACACCTTTCTTTTTGATTATATAACTTAACCTTTTTTTTTTTTTTTTTTTTAAGATATCACATGCAATAAAACGATACTTGCGAGTAGGGTTCAATTTGGATACAGGTAATAATATAAGCGAGGCAGCTAAAAATTTGTCAGGAACTACATTGGCAAATATAGAACCAGATCGTGATGATAATATTAGTAATGATAAAAGGCCAAAAATTAAAATCAAAACAATTAAAGGGATCTCAAAACTATTTTTTTGGAATTGGCCTGTAGAAGGTAGACATAGTGGGTATATCCGTGCACGTTCATTGCCACATATTGGTGAATGGAATAATTTTGCACCTGCATATATAAATAAACTTTGGAATATTTTGCCTCATCGGCCACAACCAACAGTATCAGAGCACACAACTCCACAATATGCATGGACAATTCTAGCAAATAAAAAGTCTAGTAAGTATTATAAATCAATTAACCAATTTCAAATCCAAATCTAAATTAGTATACTTATGTATTTTAGCTGAAAATGATAATGAAAATGATGATGAATTTGAAGGTATACATCTATATCGTATCAATTTGTATATTATAATACGTAATAATTTTGTATATTATATAATCCTAACTATTTAAAAATTCAAAGATACGATTAGTTTAGATCAACATGAAGGTAAAAAAGAAACGTATAATGGTAAGCAATAATATGAAATTATACCTTTTTGAAACCTCTTATCTAATATTCGATACTATTTGTTTTAGATGTTTTCATTATTGTGCCAAGGTAGGTATAAAAATCTGATTGAATGTTATGATTGAATTATAATTATCTCATATAATATCTAATTTTCAGTATGATAGATGTCGGATTCCCATTGCATAAAGGATGGGCGTTAAAAGGAAACCAAAAATTAGGAAATAAGGGTGGTACTAGAATTAAAAAAAATATAAAATCTATGCTTGAACGTTTTTTCTTAAACGGAAATCTAA